GACTGCTGCTACTGCTGCTGTTGTTGTTGTAGTTGATTTTATTGTCGTTATTTTTGTAGTTGTTGTTGTTGTTTTGTTGTTGTTGCTGGTTGCTGCTAGTGATAGTAACAGTGATGATGATGTAATAAGTGTAGCCGTTGTAGTTGCTGGTTTTGTGATTGTTGTTATGAGAGGGTGGTGGTGATACTATTGCAGTTATTGGTGTTGTTGTGATTGTCGTAGTGATTGTTGTTGGTGGTGTCATTGTCGTTGATGATATTGGTAGAAGTTTAATTGTTGTTTGTTGTGATGGTGTCTTTGATTTTTTTATATTTTTTTTTTGGGGGGGGGGGTTGCTGTTGTTGTTGATGGTATTGTAACACCATTACATTGTTTCAAAAGGCAAAAGTGTTTACTAAGTCCAAGTCTGGGGAAACGTGATTGATTATGACAAAGCGGTCTTAAATTTGAAGTTAAATGACACTTAAATTAACTGTGTTAATGTTGCATAAACTGGTCTGTAATATAAGTTAGAGCAATTAGGAGTCAGGTTTCATCGAACCAGTCCGTCAGGGACAGTCGTGACATCTAGTAGAAATAATCTCTCAGCTGAAACACAAGGATATTCGATGCTATACCTTCCCTGATTGGGAACAGCGCTAAAATCTTGAGAGCGAAAGGAAAAAAACAAGCCTAACAATTGACCAGACCTGGAAATAAGTACTCGCCAAAAATAAAAGCAGGGAAAAAAGTCACACCCAGATTAGAGAAATCTGGTGCGTAGAAGGATAACGAGAAAACGCGACAACCGCTGCTTTTATCACAACTACGAATGTATAACGACATGAAAGTTTCAATGGCACAGTCACACCAATTTCGGCAACATGAAGAAAGACAGATATTTGTGGCCACCAGAAACTCCCCACAACGAGCTAAAAACGCCTGTAAACACAGTAAACACCCCAAAAAATAATTGTTTTCGCTAGCAGCCATAACACCCGTTGAGAAAGATTTTCCCCTCACATCCACCTTCTATACAGGACATCAAAGTCGCTGAAGTAATATCGCCCGGCTTTTCCCGCGCTCTGAAGCGACGCCAGAGTAGGGTCAACAGTCGTCCCTGAGAAACAGGATTCCTTACATCAAAGGGGGGAAAGGCGGCAATGACCCATTGGGGTCCGGGACAAAGACCCTCTGAGTACTGGAAGTAAAAACGTTTCATCTACCCAGTTGTCAAATAACATGTCGCAGCTAAGACATTTGGGCTCTGAACAACGAAACTTCCTGTACTCATAGGAAAAACGTTTCATCACCACTGCGTTCGTCTTGTTTGTTTCTAATAGAGCGTTTTGGCTCTAACCGGTTTCTCTTCTGTCCGGACAATCAATGCCTACTGCCCACTGTCCAGCCAGTGTCCAGCTCACAGGAGAGCAATCCGGTCCTCTGGTTTGCCGCGAGGTCTTAGTCTAACTGCTGGCCGCGAGCGATCTCCGCCACCTGACCCTTTTGTTCCCGTCAAAAGAAGCGTCAGGCCGGGTGAGAGAGATGTCCGAATGGTCAGTGTACCGGCTATTCCCACCTGCATTTTTGACCACCTCTCCAACTGACCCGAGTTACACACAGACTGCTCTTTTCCCTGTCGGTTACTCGTCCTTTATCCAACAGTAGTAGCAGCGGTAGAAGGGTAATCACAGCAGAAGCGGCCACTCATTATACCAAATTGCGAACCACAAAGTTAAATAGAAGAGCAGAGTGGTAGGGCGGTCTCGCGTTTAGAGGGGGGAAATAAGGGGATGGTAGCTCTTACGAATAGATGAAGACGTCACGAGGGTGATGAGGAAATTGTCTCCCTTTGTTGTCCTGAAGACTCCGCCCTTCTGCCTGGCTTTCTCCGAAAGCTTTGATCAGGCATCAGTGATTGTCATAGGTTATTCGAAATCGGGGGGAAAAAAGGTGTGTAGTAAGGATTTGCAAAGAGGAAAAAAGGACTCCGGGTTTCGGAGAAAGAAAAAAAGGTTGGAAGGTGGGGTGTGGATGAAGGTTGG